TTGGGTACAAATAATTTATTTTTATACTGTGTGTCAATGAATGATAAAAATATTATTAATTCTACGGCCAAGTACATATATGAAATAATGAATATTTTTTGGGATCTTGCCTGCATCTAGCTCTTCTTTGACTTGTCCTTGTTTAAATTTTGTTATTGTTGTAATATTATTATTACTCTGTTCTATTATATTATTTTTATATAATTTATAATAGACATTTGCTGTATTCTATATATACCAGTATTGGTATTTTTGTTTGAATAAAGTTATTATTATTCTTCATAATATTCAGAAAACATAATGTTTTGTCAGTAAGGCAAGGGTTTCTGCATGCATGTATTTTCTAGTCTACTTTATGTTCAGAAAAATTCGAAAAAATTTGAAATTTGGGCAATTTTCACATTAGAGGTCCTCACATTGTTATGCGCAGAACCAATGCGCAGAATGGACTTGACTTCCCCTTTAATTAATCAACTTCTAAAGTTGTTTCTTTTTGGATTTTTTTATTAATTTGGTTAGGGTTAGGGTTAGGGTTGCATGTTAGACTTAAAGCAAAAAAAAGTATAAAGGCAAAAAAAGTATAATAAAAATAACTTGGCACTTAAGGCCTGTTTAACTTCCAATTTTGCCAGTCAATGTTGTTATAATTTATCTGAAAATCAGAAAGAATCACCTAGACATTATAAACAAATATTGGATGGGTGTGTGTTTAATATGCCCCATCCCCCTGGTTACGTCCTTGAGAACAGTGCAGTAATATTCTGTCCTTTTACCTGTGTTGTTTAGCTAAAGCTTCATTGTGAAGATTATCTTCTAAAGTTGCTTCATGAATAAGCACGGTCGCATTGACTCCTTCCTGAACAAGACCATGGCAAGGCCTTGTGTCTCCGGAGTACACTAGTTTCCAATCATTTTTGTGACTCAGAACCAAACCAAATGCACGGGGGCAATGTTTTACCGGCACAATCGACACCTGTAAAATGAATGGAAATCATCATGAGACTGGATGACTGTATAAATATAGGCAATTCCAGCTATAGACTACATTTTGATCTAGACAAGAAGACACCACAGCTAGCAAGAGCATGTTAAAATTAGTAGAATTGCAAAGTTTGGCCGCAAAATGTTGTAAAATGCAGAAAATATAGCCCTGCGAAATTTGCGAATTTTGTATTCTGGGTTTGTAGTCTCCAAGACCAAAAAACTTCAAAGACTTTCAAATATTTGTTCTGCCTATTTTCAAAGACTTTTCAAAGACCTTTGAGAGCAATCAGCTGTCAAAAAATTGCGAGTGTAAGCACCATTTTTACCCAGTAATTAGTCCCATCAAATCACATCATAAAATGCACCTTTTCATCGATATTTGGAAAAATCTTGCTTCAATCCATCTATTTTTTATTAGCTAGGAAATCGTATAATCAAATACTCACTAAGGAATTTAAAGACTTTTAAAGACTTTCTTCGCTTTTTCACACAATTCAAAGACTTTTCAAAGACCTTAAAAACCTGCATTCAAATTTAAAGACTTTCAAGGATTTCAAAGACTGCTACGAACCCTGGTATTAATTTGTATTACACACAGGAAAATCCACCACATTTGCGCTGAAGGTGGTGCATTTTACCGTGCGTAATACAAATGAACACAAAATGCACAAATTTTGTACAACATTTCACAACCAAACTTTGCAATTTCACTAATTTTAACATGCTCTTTCTAGATGTGGTGATGGATTTTTTTCTTCTTGCCTAGATCAAAATTTAGTGTTTAGTATAGCTGGAATAAACCATTCAGTGATTAAATAAAGATATGAAGAGATTTTCTTGTGATATAACAACCTTTGATTCCAGTAATGAAGACAGAATTCCGTTTCCCATTCTGTAGTCAGCTCGAAACTTGCATGAATCATAGAATCTTAAAACAAAATCAATATAGTTGTTGTAAAGTCTGTTTTTCGTTTCGTGAAACAGCATATAATCATAGTGACTTTAGCACTGTGTAACTTTAGCACTGTGTAACACTGTGGAGGGTTTTTCTGCGTGCAAACTGGCCCTTTTATATTACTAAAGATCTAATGAAGAATGTGTCATGTTCATTTCGTAAGGACCGCTGTATATGTTGGCGTAAGCTGTAGCATATACCCTGCTCTGATTGATAGGTTGTATAATATTCTTGTGTTTGTATTTGTGTTTGTGCAGATTGTGTGAAATCGGCAAAGTATAATAAATAAATAAATAGCAAACATTTTTAGTAAGCTGAAAGTGTGACAGTATCATGTTCGTTGTGTTACCTGAAGTTGAGGGTTTCACAAAAGTTCCCATAATATCTGAGCCATTCTAGAATTGATGGAGGACCAATAATTATTATAGGGTCCGGTTGTTTTTCAGCCTAAAAGTTTTGAAGTATTAAAGAACATCTCAAAAGAAAGAGCAAAGCCAAAAGCTATAAATAGGTTATGAATAAACTCTAGTTATGAACACCATATAAGGACATAATTACTGTATGATTGACATTTAGGAAAAAAACAACATAGAATAGGTGCATCCGTTCCGCACATTGTAAGCAATAATCTATTGGCGTTGTAATGCCATTGTATGCAATAAAGTATTGGGTTGTAACTGAAGACAAAATCACAAGCATTGGACAAAAGGTTTAGTTATAAATGTAATTGGCCAAAAATGGAGGTTGGTGCAGTGGAAGTTAGGCAAATACCAAAAAAGGTCATCAAGGGTTAGGGGGTTTGAGGTTAGGGGGTTAGAGGTTAGGGGGTTAGAGGTTAGGGGGTTAGAG